CGGGTCGGCTTGGGGTCGTTACGTTGACAACCTTCCTCACGGGCCCCCCTCACTTTTTTCCCCCACTCGAACAACAACATTTTCATAGGAGTGAGTGTATGTGTATGTGAGTGCCAGTTTGACCCACATTTGGAGGCGTGCCGCCGCCCACGATTGTCCTTAGCCGCCATAGCATGCCGCCAGGCTTTATATTGAAATTGCGAAATATTTTTTCCTACGGCTTCCTTTTTCAATATGTCGCCCACTTATTTGTGGGCGAAAATACCCTTTAGGGTACATGAATCTCTCCTGGTTTTGTAGCAGGAAATGTAATAGATAATGTATGGGTAAAACCATTTTTATTTTTACCAATATCTTGGAAAAATTTAAATTGGTATGGGAAGTAAAATCTGCTTAATATTCTCTCCCTAGCCTGAAACTGATTTTAATAACATAAAGCCATAAAATACTTTTTTGTTTATTAAATTTATTATAGCTAAAGTTTGTTTTCTTTTTTATGTGCCATTAAATAAACTTTAAAAATAGTCTGAAAACTCACATAAAAATCTTGTATAATAATGAATACTAAGTTCTATTTATTATTTGCATATGTAATCTGTTGAATTTTACATTTATACGCTTCATTAATATTTATTTATTTGATGATAATGATTGTCACTTAATTTAAATTGATTTCTATACAACAAGGACTCATTTACCACAAAATTTACAATTAAGAACCCTTTAATGTACAATTAAACATGACAAAAGGATTGATTCGCCTGAATTTCCACTTCATTATCCGGCGGTACTTAATGAATACACATATTGTAGCCACCGTGAATCACCTTTGAAGTGCACATCCCACTTCGGTCAATATGCCATTGAATGTTTTCACATTTTCCCATTATTACTGCCGCTTTTCTTTTTGCATTCATTTCATGCCTTTCCATGCCGGACAAAGGTCCCCGAACTCCACATGTGACTCCCAACGTTTGACATTTTACACTCATCATGATGAGTCCAATATGTACAGAGATATATGAATATGTACACTCGTAAAAATATTTATATATATTTCAAAACTATTAAACTGTGAATATTTTTATAGAATTAAGAAATATATTCTGTTACATAGTTACTTACTCTTAAAGTAACTCAATTTTATTTTAATAATTTAGTAAACATTTTTATGAGTGTACAAGAATGTGTCGTGATGCTACGTTTGTGGGAGGCAGCGTGGGAATTATATAGCATACATTTTGGGACCCCTAGAATCGGGGATTTAAGTGGCCTTAAGTGGATTAATTTAAATCATTTGTTTCTTGTTATTGTTGCTTGTTTGGCGTCAAATTGTGCGATGCGTTTGCGGTTTTCTTTGGCCGTCGTTTTTGATAAATGGATTTTTCATGCGACGAGTTTCAACCCACCCACCTCCTCCTCATATTTCCATTTTTCCACAGAAATCTCATAGAGCGCCTTTTGGCCGCAATTTTTGTTTTTTTTTTTTTTTGTATCCATTAAGCCAATGTCTCTACTTGCTTGCCATTTTTACACACGAATGATTTTGAGAATCATTTTCATCTTTCTTCTTTTGTTTGCGGTATAAACAGGAGTAATACAAAAATTGTTTTCTCCTTAAAGATATGCAAGAAAGCGAAACAAGAATAAAAAAAAAAAATAAAACGAGGTCGCCTGGAAGACCTGTCAATTGGCTGCTAGGGATTGACTTTATTGATCATCTCCTGAAAGATACCAAGGGAATGAGCTGTCAATTTAATGCCGAGCCCGTAAATCCCCCATGAAAGTTAACGGAAGCCTCCGACAATGGTGCTGGCTTAACTTTAATAACCCGGCCAGTCGGGCCAGTAGAAATATTAGCACTTAAGTGGCTTCGCCGTCAGCCAATCGGCAATCAACAAGCACATTTTTATGAGGCCAAGGGTATATATTTTTATGGTAAATATGTTATAATAAAAATATGATATTTTGTAAGCAGGCATTTTTGTTAAGTTGCCAGGACAAGCTTTGCTTTAACATAAAGTTATTTAAAAGAATATATTTAAGGAGTTTTCTACAGCATTATATTTAATTTTTAAATGATTTTGGTAAATGTACAACTTTACTTTTACTTTAAAATTGTAATGAATACTTTAGTTGGAAACTAAGCTGCTACATATTACATTTCGTGTTGCTTTGCTTACTTTTCTTGAATTGTTAATGAGAAAAACTTTGCATATGCGAGCAGAGAATAAAGTAAGCATTAAAGTCGATATATTCAGCTGCACTTACTCACATCCACTTCACATGATTTTATTCATTTTATTCTGCCTTTTCTATATACCAATCTCTGCTTATAGGGAGAAAAAAAGCGATTGAGCTTAAGTTACCCCTCAAGCAAACCCAAATTTAAGCGGATTTCCCGAAATAACTGGCAAAAGCACCAAAAAGAAAAAATGAGTTTCTTGCTTACAGGAAGAAAATAAGATAAAATAATTTAGCCAGGCACTCAGCTAAAATGCTAGAAATATATATAATTATACCCAGGCTGTGCCAACGCCAAACTTTAACCCAACGAAGAGTGCTTACCACTTGTTTCTCTATAAACATAAGAAAATTTCTTCCTTGAAGTATGCTTTAATTTTGCCTTTGTTCAACTTGCTTATTCCCTTGAGATCTCCGAGTTTATCTGCATAAATTTCGGCAAAGGCCATTGAGGCACGCTTCTAATTAGCGAAAACCAACAGCAAATGAGTGATGAACGCAAATCTTTATGAAAACAAAAATTCAAAATAAAAAAATGTGTGTGTATATATAATCTCCCTTTGAATAAATTCTAAAAGCAGGCTCTGGCGCCTACAATTAGCATAATTCAGCTCTATGCGAAGGCAAAGCAAAATGCAGCCAAAAGAAAATATGCAAATACCATTTTTACAGGCAGGCAAACCAAAAAAAAAAAAAATATTTGGGAAACCCACTTAAAGCCTTTGCATACCGACAAACCCCAAAATTGGCGGCCAAAACAGGCAACAAATTTGGCAACAGATTAGCCTCCGAAAACAGTTGGCCATTTTGTGGTGGCAACTAAATTGCAAACAATTGCAACAAAACCGTGCTGCCCTCTCACCTGCCCCCGCACAAAAGAGCCGAGAGGCGAAAAAAATGTCCCAGAGAATTTGCTCAGCCAGCGGAAAACGGAAACGGCTGGAAGCTGCTGATGCCAGAGCGGGCCAGCCGCAGCTAAACGCAGCACTCGTTTCCGCATGGCCAGCAGTCCGAACCAAAATACAGTCCATCTTCAATAACCCGAAAATCGAAAGGCATTTAATTGGGAAAAGTTAATGAAAAATATTTGTATGAAAAAGTTTATAAAATTCTTTTAAATTTAATACCTGAAATATGGGAGTTGGTAAACGTCTCTTAGTTTTCTAGAATTTTTCTTAGAATTCTATATGTAGCTCATAGAGTTAGGTATATCATTTTATCTTTCGTTATACTGCAATTCCCACTGTTTAATTTCCGAAAACCGGGCTGACTGGACAAATTATGACCGCAACTGCGGAAAAGCAGTTAAACGGGGCAAAGAGTGAAAAGCAGAGTCGAAAAAGCGCACCAAATCTATTGCCCGCTTTTGATAAGAATCTCAAAAGTCAAAAGCGTTTTTTACCTGGAAGCGATTTCGACGTAATCAATAAGTGGACGGACGGCCATAAATTATTTGAAGCTGTCAGCACAAATTGCGGGCGTAAATAAAAAAAAGAGGCAAGGGAAACACCAAGGAATGCCAAAGGAAACTCACTTAAGAGCATGAGAAGGATTTTCATTAATTAAGGATTTTTTGTAGCTATTAAGTTTGGATCAACAAATAAAAAATGTTTTTTTATACACTGCGTATACGTAATGTCCTGTAGGGTATAAAAAGTTTCATAGAGCCACGCACTCGAACCAACCTCCATCTGTTTCCTTCCACATTTTTGGCAAACTGAACTTTCATTGGGCCAATTTGGTGGCTAAGGACAAGTTGTTATTGGCACTCGATTTCTGTATGGTTTTGGCATTCATTTCCAAAACTTTCACCACCAAATCAAATTAAAGTATTTTAAGTTTTGTGGTAAAACTACCAAACTCTGGTCTAAGCAATAAATAAACAGTTTAATTAAAAGTTCAATCAAACGGAAGCTTGTCTAAACGTCTGAAGCAGCTGAGGCATAAATGTCCAAATTGATAAAGTCTACTTACTAATGGTGATTTAATTGGATAATAGCCTTTTCATTTGAGATAAAATGAAGGCTCAGAAATAAAATATTTTAATAGTAAAGGAAGTAGCTTTTCCAGCTTAGTTTTCTAAAAGAATTTTAATTTATTTCCAAATAGCTCATATTTTTCATTCACTTTACAGACATATCTATTTGTTCAGCATTAAGCCAAATTTCATATTTATTTTGGCAGAAGCTTAAAGCTGTCAACGACAGCCATCGTCAATTGGCCAACATATAGACCAATAATTGGCTAGAAAATGGCAAAAAATATAAAAATTGAGAGATGTGGAGCTCGCGAAAGGGGGAATGAATTGAACATTCCCAGAATTGTCTGTTGACAAATATGAAAAAATGTTGAGGCATGTGGAGGGCAGGAATATGTGAAATTTGAAATGCTAAATGGAATTTTGTGCAGAATTTTAATTGGGTTTCATGTTATTTCGAAATTGTTTGTAGCTGAACTCTTTTGCTGTAAAACGGTTGACTGCATAAATCTTCATAATCTTGTACACATGTGTTCTGAAATGGTTTTTGTTCAAAAGAAGAATGTGTTTTCAAATTATTGTTGTTTACATTAAGATTCCGATGTATATATATTTGTATTGGCGAATAAATATTTTCTTATTTCTGTTGGTAATAATTATTTTATTATATTATTAATCTCTCGCAGATAATTTAAATTTAAAACTCAATAAAACTTAAATAGTAAACATTTCCTATTATTTTCTGTCAAAACCCAATTAGTTTGCTTTTATTAATTACCTTTTGTTTGTTGTTCCCGTTTTCGTTTTAGTATTTCCACTATCACAAGATTGCAATTAATACGTTTGGGGGTTTATTGTTTTATGGCTTTGCTAATATTTGTGTTGCACTTTCCGTGAAGCCAAATACGCCGGAATGAAAGAGAGATCGGGTCGCAACGGAACGGAATCAAAAGGGACACTCTATTGTGCTTGATTTGTTTATCTATTTGTATTTGCCTTCCTGCTCAGTAACAATGAATTGAAATCGAAAATGAGGAATATTTCCCCGCCTCTTAACAATCTTTCTATCTATCGTTTTATACCAAGATTTTTTTCTGTTACTATTTTCTTATCACGTGAATGGGCAAATAACAAAAAATAATATAAATTCCAGCTTTTTTAAATTTCTTTATACTTGGTTTTTTGTTTAAAAATATGTTATAATTTATATTTTTGTATAACCTTTTACATATATTATACGTTTGATCCTGTTGTTATTGTTTTTATTATTATTATCCTTTAAATATTTTATTTTCTTACTAGAATTCACAATTTTGTTGTTTGCCCTTCGTTTTCTGTGTTTGGCTTTGTATTTTTGGTTTGTTATTGATATTTCAAAGGGAATTGTGTTTGGTGTTTGTCACTGTTTGCTGGCATATTTAATATTTATTTGATTTGCTTGACTTTTCCACTTTTCGTATATTTCTATTTTATATTATTTTGATGGGCATATTCTTTTTTTCCAAACTGTTTTTACCGCCTTATCGTCATCGATTTCGCTTAACTATGGTTGGTGTTTGCCTTGTTGTTATCTTTTTGTTGTTCTTTGTTTTTGCTCATTTTTTTTTTTTTTTTTGCCTCGCCTGCTCATTTTCATTTACATTTTGATTTCATATTTGCCGTCTGCGCCTTGCTTCACTCGTGGAAAATAATAAAATTCACCAGGCGGCGGCACGCGGTGCGTATACGTAATAAACCGCTTGAGACCCGTATTGCCAGCTACGTATCCGTATCTCGTACCCGTACGTCTTCGTATTTCACGGCGAGTTGCGAGTCCGTTCCGGAGCTTTGTTGTAGTTGTCGCAGCAGCAGAACGGCGACTGAGCCGTTCGAAATATTTCAGGCGGCCACCAACGTGCCAAGCGCCAAAATGCCGCAGCGTCGTTCTGCAGTCGGCGTCGCTCCTCTCTCTCTTTATCGGTCCTCGGTTGATGGCTGGTGTTGTGTGTGTGTGTGTTGCACAGTTGTGGGGCAAATATTAGCACAAAGTTGTAAATAGTAGGGAAACTTGAGGCTGTCTTATCATAATACATATGTTAACTAAGAAAAATATACATGTTTCCTTCTGGTTAGATGAAAGTTCTAAGTTTTTTTCTCGAAAAACACTGTATTTTCACACTTTTAAATGTGTAATAAAAAGTAGAAAACAACCATGGTCGGTAGTGCTATTAGATTAACCACAACTGTAAGCAATATGCCAATAGGCGCAGCAGACTTGTCGGGATGAATGAGAGGGAACGGGAGAGGGCTAGCAGTCTGGCCATGAATGAGTGAGTGCCGTATGATAAGTGGGCGGTGAGCAAAGTGCACTTGGAGAGCAACAGAGAGAGACAGAGCAAGGCAGAGCGAGAGAGAAAGCAAGCAAGTAGGAGTGTGTGCACCCACAATGGCGTCCAGAATATTGGTCTACCTTGTGTGTATTGAATTTAAGCCGAGACTTAATCTTAATGATAATATTAAATCATGAAAAGAATTTCATATTAAACAAAACAACATTTAATACATAATAAAATTCTTTTTGATTTAAATAAATTTATTAATGGTAAATATAGTCTGAAAATAGTTTTCATGCCATCATGTTATTCCAATAACCACTGTAGCCGGCAGAGAGTCGTAACGAGAGCATTATATTGTCTATTGTTGTTATTCGCATTTAAGCGTTCTCTCGCTCTCTTTATATTTGCAAAATATTCCTCTCAGTATCTTTTTGCCTTCGCTCTCTGTGGCTCTCTCCGGCGGCGCCAAAAACAGCTGCTTGATGTTTATTTGTTTGTTTTTGTCGACGTCGTTTGCCACGCTTTCCACCCGCCGGAGTTTGTTGGCGCGCCTTTGCCGCATATTCTCCGTATTCAGTATTTTCCGCATCTGCCGCATCTTGAGTGCCGTCGCAGTTTTCACCTAACTTCTAGAAAATCGGGGTGAGGCGACCGAGATGGGGTGGAATCTGTGCCTGGTGTCGCCTCCTTTATGACAGCCGCCACATCAAGTTTTATGGCCTTCAAATTGTTTCCGAAACGTTGCGCTATTGGCAATGTCTGTCCCGGTTGGAAAATGGGCGGGAAATAGAGGGAGGATGGAAATGGTACTAGTGTGTGCTTTCCTTTTCCCTTTACCACCCCCTGTAACCTTCCTACGGGTGCTCTATTTGGCGCAGTTTATCAATTGCCGCCCACTCGGCATTTGCTTACAGATTTGCCCCATTTCACCAGTTTTCTTTTCGTTTTTCTTGGTTCCCTAATTTTGTTAAATGTTCTGTTGGCTTTGTCTGGAAAAGTTTTTTAAATTAAACTTGGATAATAACAACAAAAAAAAAAACATGGCGTATACGCAATGTTTACAAAAATATCAACCAAATTACGTATACGTAATATGTTATAATTTACTCCATAACGTTTTGTAATGTTTTCCTTTTTAAATGCTTATCTATTCTAAGGTTTGCAGCTATTCTTAATTAGCCGTAAATTTTGTTTATTTTCTAAGTAAACGTTAACCTGGTTTTGCTGTTTTGCCCTTATTTTTTTTGTATTGTATTTAAATTCACATTTGTGAACAAATTAACTGACTAATTTGTAAAAAATCGTTAAAAAGTGAATGTCCAAATAAATTGTTCAGGTTTTTCTACCTTTTAAATTATGTCAAGCATTAAAGTAATTTTAAATAACATTTTACAAAAGTAAGAAAATAGTTAAATATTTTTCAAAGTGCAGAACTCAAGTAATTGAAACTAAAAAATTATTAAATATTGCTTGGTAAATTTAAGATGTCCAAGGATGTCAAGCTCTAACCAACCCTAATCAATTAAGCCATTCTCTCCATTTTGTTTATTCCATTTTGTCACCATTTTGCCCAGTTTTCTCTTTTCTACTCCTTACCCTTCTGCTTAGCTCATTCATTAAGACAGAATGCTTTTTTTTTCTCCTGTTTTTCACTTCATTTTCCAACTGTCTGCCACTTGGTCTGCCCCTTCTTGAGTGCAATTTTAGCATAGCGCAAAAATACAACACAAAAAAGATATACTGACAAAAATCCCTCTGAGGAAAATTCAACTTGAACCGGCTTCGTTGGCTATTTTGTGCTTTTTGGCATTTTCCTCATTTCATCTTTTCATCTGCTGCTATGTCTTCTTCTTGTTCGTTCGTCTGCTGTGCATCTTTTGCCTGCATTGTTTACATTTCTCTCAACAGTTATTTATTTGCCTTTTACTTTTACGTACGGAAACAACGGGAAATTTGCCTGGGTTTGTCTGTTGCCCTTGCGTTTTGCCTTTGCCTGTTTCTTCCTCTCTTTTTTTTGTATTTCTCTGTTGCTTTTTGCCAATGTTTTTTATGGGGTGTTGAAAACCACTTTGTTAAACAAACTTGTAGCTGTTCTTTTTTGAGCCAACTCTTTCTATCTCTGTTACTTTGGCCTTTCTTCTGGAGATGGGCGCGTGAGCGTGTTATTTATCTTCATCACGCACGCAGCACGATTTTAGTTCTCTCGAATTTATATATTTTTCAGGAATAATATTTTCTATAAATAATATATCTTTCAATTATTTTTACAAAGCTGGGCACATATTTTCACAAACATTTAGATAAAATCCGCGACACAACCTTAATCTGTGCACGCACTCACCTCTACTTACTATATATCTTTTACTCTGCCCTTTTGTTATGGTTATAAAGGAGCCACAAAGACCCCGAAAGGGCAAGTTCCATAATTTGTATTGGCATTGTAGGGATTCGCCTTGCTTTGCCTTGTTTTCATCCATGTTGCTTCCCCTGTTGCGCCTTGTTTCACCTGCTTCACCTTTTCTAATTATTTGATTGCCGATAAGCGGGGCTAAATTGCGTAATATAAATAACCAACAAATGGATGACGTTGAACGTTAATGGGTATGGTATGGCGTGGGTTAAAGCTTTCGGTTTAGCTCCCAATTCTACCAATTGCAAATGGCCCTAAAAGTGCCCCAAATTTGAATTGGTTTTGTTCGCTAATCTTATCACAGTGTTTGTTCTATTTTTTGTTCTACGTATATTGTTTTATAAAACAAACAGCTGCTGGGGATTAGCCGAGAAAATTGAAAAAAAAAAAAGAGTGAATTCCAACGTTAAAAATGCATGATATAAATTGTTAAAGCGTGACTAACAATGCGGCAGTAAAGATATTTTATTTTTATTTTATTTATTTAGTTCAGAAGAAAATCTTTATCTAAGCGGACTTCCCAGCTTTCGTATTTGTTTCTTTCCCACAGATATACTCATTTAAGTTTAATTTTGTGTGTTTACCTTCTCCAGACAGCTATCTTATCAAACAATATCTGTATTAGCTATTTTTATCACGCTTAGAATGGTAATGAACTTTTCAAGGTTAAGTTATCTAATAATAAATATGAGTTTAAAATGTAGGGATTTGTTTTAAAAGAAAAGAAATTTAAACAATAAATAACAATAATACATGTAGTAGATTCTGCTCAAATTAAATACTAAAAATTACGAAGAAATTCAATTTTCCTTTTCCAGCTCATTTTCAATTAGTTTATTTCACTTTAAAAATATTCTATTTATTTGTAGTAATTCTAAGGAATTTAAAGTAAACTTTTCTGGTATTTCTATTATTTGCAACTCGCTGCCATTGCTGTCAAGTTTTATCGAACCAAGGAAATCCCATTTAAACCAATTCCTAACTAACTTTAACCAATCACGGTCGGTCTTCACACTAACGAACTCTGTCAGACTACAGAAATTCCAAAACAAACAAGAATATACATTTATCTTTGAGCCAACTCTGAATTCCGGGTGCAGACAACCGCGTCCGGGCATCACACATCTCCCCCCCGAAACCAGGATATCTGTAGTCTCTAGGATTGGTTATCACTCCGAGACTGTGTGCTCCCATTGAAGGTCAACCGCGTGAGTCTGTGTGTGTGGGTGGGGTGGGTGGTGGGGATTCCCCCCAGTCGAAGAACCTTTCAAGCGCAACATGTCGCTTTGTTTCCACTTTGCTCGCTATTCCCCCGCAAATGTTATTTTGTTTTTCTTTTTTTTTCTGAGCTGTAGCCATGTCCTCCATCTCACGGAGAGAATAAAAATTGCCATTTTAATATTAAAATAAACATCAATTCTTCTGGAAAAAATATAAAAATCTGGCACTTGAAAACTGGATTTAGAATGAATATATTTTTGAATAAAATATAAAGAGTGGAATAGAGAAGAGTATCTTTGACTATATCTGTAGAGTTAATAATAATATTTAGCATTTTCTAGGAAACCCATTCGTGCTTAGAATGGAAGTTTGATTCATAAAAAGTAAGCCACAAATATTATTCATAAAAAATGAACTCAGCTCATGGAATTTCATAAACTTAAGGGTCTAATAACCATTTCAATATTACTTTTTTCCTAGTGCAATAACAGCATCCCCTTCCTTTCTGAGATCCCTTATTCCTGACGCCTGTGGTCTGCCACGACTTTGTTGTTTTTGCCGTGCGTGGTCGCTGCTGCTGGCATTACATTGTTTGCTTTTTGTTTAGCAGCGGTTAGGTGTGGACCACTTCCCCACCACCAATCACCCAACCACCCACAAAAACTCCCCTCATCACTCCCCTTTATCTCGCGGCCTTTGTCTGCGACTCTTTCTCTTTCTGTGTCTCTTTCTCGAGGGACTGCAGCTGTGGAGGAAAAGTTTTTTAACCAAATTGCCCTTGAGGGAATCGGGCACTGCAGTTAAACAATAAAGCAAAACAGTTCCCTTAGCTATTGTTGCGATGAAAATATAGTGATTAATATTCAATCAACAGAAGGTATAGTTCACAGGAA